GTTGTTATTTCCAGGTACCAGGGTGAACCACATGACCTGAAGTCATCTCATTTTTCACTTGTGTAAAACCACTGCTGAGGAGGGGACTGAGTGATCTAGGTCCATTGCCTGGGGAGAACTACTAATGATGTAAAGGCTGAGTGAGGGCAGATTGTTCACTGGAGGGTGACTTTGAAATCAGCATGACTTTGTACTTATCAAAAATGTATGGTGCTGCTTATCTGTATTTTAATACATTGTGTGTTGCGTTAGCACTGCAAAGCCTCTGATTTTTATCCAGCTTACTCACTGTAGAGTCAGATACCTATTTCTGAGGGTTTTGCTCCTGAACAGCTCCACCAGCAATTGGATGGGCTGCCTGGAGCACACAACAGCTTGCTCCTTGAAAATGTGGCTCCGTAATGAAAACTGATGCTACATGAATCTCTTTGTTGTTTTTTTTGTTTTGGAGGTACCATATAGTACTTGAGATGATGTCATCTTATATTCCAAGCTTTGCCTTTAATAAGATTTTGCAGAAAGCTTAGACTTCCCTTTTAGTTATTAATACATTTCCATGTTTTTCTGCAGAAAATTGGTATCAATCCTGTTTCTTATATTCTAAAATTGCAAATCTTTTGCACTAATGACAGAATTGCTGCTATCAAAAATACAAAAGTTTTGAGGGACATTTCTTTCATTTTATTTTATGTAACATCCTGAACTGCCAGATGGCCTGAAAAAAATAGGGAAATTTATTAATTTGTGGTTTACAACTCCTTGGGAGAATTACGGTCTAAATCTCCTTCTGGGTAGTGTTACACTGTTCCTTGTGAGGTGTTGAATGCTTTCAAGTAGTCAAGAGAAGGTGGCTGAAATGTCTGCATTTCATCTGTGGTCCAGCCCTGATGCTGTTTAAAGTCTTTTGACTTGTGCTAAGCTGATCTCCTGCCTGCTTTAACCTTGTATGTAACCATGTGTAGAGTAGCACTAATTTAAGGTTAAAAAGCAGTAACACTTCGAGGTATTGTGGATTATTGCTGAAAGCACAGAGCCAATATAATAGAGCTGTACTAAAACACTCTAACAGATCCCTAAAATGTGAAGTTGTCTCTTGAATAGCTTGGCTTCAAGATACTTGGCTTGTCTTTAAGGCCAACTTCTGTTTGTTTGTGTGGTTGAAAGAGCGGGAGAGGAGAAACAGAAGAGAGAAGCTTTTAAAGATTTCAGTGATAAGCCTCCAGGGCACAGGCTGCCTTAGAAACAGAGTGTTTGTAGCCTGAAGCTAGGCTGAGGTGATATTTACAGCTTCCTTGTTTCCAGTTTTCCTTGCTTTGCCTTCAGACTGATTGTAAGGATGTGATTTAACATAACCTGTCTTCAGCTGCATGAAACTGATGTGCCCAGGCTGAGACAATCACTTGGTCTCCCTCTATAAGTCACCAAAGTGAGATAGATTTGATTTTAACACCAGTGTTTGGATAAGAAGAATTGCCTGTTGGAGAGATGTCGATGTCTCCATTGGCTCTGGAGGAAGACTAGAGGATAATGATCTATAGCCAAGTTGCTTGATTTTTAGGTGGCTGAAGTTAAGTGCAGTGAATCTCACCTGGAGCATCTCATTTGCTCACATTGATTCTTCCCTCTGAAGAACAAAGTACTCAGCAATGAGGAGCGACTAAACACTCTGCTTTCCCCAGAATCCTGTACAATATGATGCAGTTCTATTTCACCTAGAAATCCTTTTCTCCAGTTTAATCACCCTGTAGATTGCTGTTGTCACTTCAGTTACCTTGAAAACCCCCTGGATAATTATTGTGGATGGAAGGAGGGCAGCAACCCCTTCATCTGTGGTTTGATGAAAATAGAGTTGTTAAGGATTTTTGTCTCCCCATGTTTAATATTTTTAATGTTTGGGAAAGAATCCTGCATAGCACTACTCTAAACTTTCCTTAGTGTGATTGTGAATGCAACTGAGATTCCCTTGGGATTATGCTGCGTTGCCCTATGAGTTCTATGGTTTTCATTTGTATTTTCAGTATTCATGTTTGAAAAGGGAAAAGGTGAATGAGACTTCTTATGTGGTTTCACTTAACCAGTGACATGGAGCAACCTTCCCTCACCTCACCAAACACAAATCACTGGGTTTGAGAACATGCTACAGTGCTTGTTTTAAATCTAGTTAGAAACAATTTGTAGCTGTATTAATACAGCTCATTCTAATGGTCTTTTATCCTGGGAAGGTCTGGCACAGACATAAAAACTGGATTTTCTTGTGAAGGCATGCTGGGTCTGTGTGGAGGTTTTCATCAGCAATAAACTGTGAATAGAAGCAATAAAAAAGAAAACAAACAAACAAACAAAAGTAAAAAAAAAAGAGGAGAATGTGGGAGAAGGAAGAAGAATTGAGGGTAGCTAGAGTTCCCCTTAATGAAGGTCAGTCTTTAACATTGTAGATATTCCTTCTATGTAATTTTTTAATAGATGCTTAATTATCATCCTTCTTCACTGACTGCCTCTGTGGCAGTGATTCACATAGCTGCTTGTTCCCTCTTGGCCATTTCACCCCAGTCATTTTGCCCAGTCCTCCTCCAAGTATTGTTAGTATGTTATAGCCAAAAAACGGACTCAGTGTGGTCTCTGCAAATTTGGTTTCTTTGATAGGAATCTAGCATCTGGTTATTTCTATGTACAAACCTTTTGCTAATTCTTCTACAGGCAGATGTAGTACACTAGACCTTTTATTTCCACAGCAAAAGTTCTCTGCCTTTTAGTTTTCCTTATTCTGACTTGATGGTGATGAGAATCCCTTTTGTGGCCTGTCATTCCCTGTCTGTCAGCCTCCCTTTCATCTCTTCAGATTTCTGCCTGACTTTCCATAGATGTACGAGGCATTTTTGTATAAGACCATTCATAAATCCTAGTTACTCTCTACTTCTCTGTTGCCAGTTTTCACTCTTGTTCCATTTCAGTAACCTTGGAGCTGACTGGAATCATGTAGAGAAATCTATTTTGGTGGCCTTTCTTATATGTTTGGAGAAGTAAAGGCTGGAAAGGACTCCATGATCCTTATTTTAGGGGAGATGTTCCTGTCTGGGGATTTCCTAGCATCATCAGAAGATGTTTCATTAGATATATTTATCAGTTTGAGAGGTTCATATCCTGCTGCACCATTTTCTTTGAGTATTTATTATACCATTCATGTTCCACTGAGTACAAAGTGACCAGAAACTTGCTGGTTTCCCCTCTCTTTCTTGTCCTGGTCAGACAAAAAGGGCTAAAAAATCCTTTAGTCAGACATAGTGAGTCTCCATAAAAGCATGTAGGTTTTTGTACTAGTTGCTAGTGGTCTAATAACAAAAAGCTTACCACAGTTATCTTATTAATGTACAAGCATGTTACATTCCCTGTTCATTAAACTGGGCAGTTTTCCCACTCTCAGTGGGCTTATTCTGCAGAGTTCACATATTAACTGTGCCAAAAAATGCCTTTTCTCATTTGCAACTTCCTTGAATAAGTGGTCTGTGATGTGTCTCTTGTATGGGTTTAAGCTTTTTCCTGCTTTTTAATAATTACATGACTATTTTTACCTGGAACCTTGCAAAAAAATATCCAATTAGCCTGTAGAACATTCTGATCTGTTGGTGTTTAAATGGAGTATGCTGCACATTTACTTTTTGGTACTTCTCTGCAGCACATGTATGAGCATTTGGGACATGGGTTGGGCTGTCAGTACTGTGTGTGCACAGGCATGAGAACATCAGGTGCCTTCTGACATAATAGAACTGCTGTGTTAGGTGAGATCTGGCTAGACTTCTGTGATGTCCCAGTGGTGCTTTGCTGTGTTCCCTTACCTTAAAGATTGACAGGAAAATTAAATGTCATTGTTTAATTACATCTAACTTCAGTAATGTTTACACTAAATTACAGAAGAGAACTTTGATATCCTGACATGTAAAGATTGCAGGTGAGAGTGAGATGTCACAGGGTTTGCAGGAAAGATGGTCGTGCTAGCTCTGCAATAATCTGTTTCTGAATTTTGAAAAGCAAAATTGTGATTGGGATTGGATTTTGTGGGTTTTGGCACTTTTCTTCTCATTATTTGGAATCCAGAATGATACTTCATGCTGTTAGTACCTGCTGCTTCTCAAAAATAACAGTGGCATCAGAAACATGATTATATGGCAGGGTGGCTTTCTTTTTTATCACAGAAAGTCTCAGGCACAGTCTCTGACAGCCAAGTAAAGAAAAGAAAATGGGGAAGAAATAGCTCTTGTAGCTCAGAATGAGGGGATTTTGGTGGATTTTTTTTATTATGCCAGCCATTTATAGAGCAAAATTTGCATGTTATGCTTCAAGAAAGAGTACTATGGGCTAATAATAATACACAAATCGTTATTTGGGATATAAAAGAATAGATGTTACAAAAAGAAATAATAATGAGGGAAAATAATAAAACAGTGCAATGATGTCAAAGCAAGCAGAAGAGGGTAGGATGGTTAAGAGTAGGTCAGAATGTCAAGGACTTGTATTTAAAGGATAAAGGTGAGATGTGAACTTGAAAGTGGGAATGAAATGTAATTTGTCTGCTCTGTGACTCTGTGTTCCCTAATTCTGCAGGTCATGCTGGGAATGATTAAAGTCACTGGGCTTGATTTATGATAGTTTTGCTTACTAGAGGGAACTTGAAAGACAGGGATTCCACATCGTTTCAGGGAAAGTGCTTAAAATGTGTAGAGATTTCTGCAGGCTCTGCATAAATGCTGAGCCATGTATTTACTAAGTGATTTTCAAATGTCTTTGTTATCTTAATCTCTCTTATGTTGCTAACAATATGGAACTGGGTGGAGAATAATTCATTTGGGTTTATTTACATTTTCAAGAGAACCAGACCATTTCTCCTCACCTTAGCAGAATTAGAACCTAAGTAGGAGCTGACTTGAGAAATCTGCTCCCCAAGACTAACCAAAGCTGTTGTGTTTCTGTGGTCTTTATTCTGTATTTTGTATCTTCTCTTTTAGGTGGCCAGTGCTTCTCTTGGGGATGGAACGAACATGGGATGTGTGGTGATGGCACAGAAGCAAACGTTCGTGTCCCAAAGCCAGTCAAAGCTCTTGGTTATGCAAAACAGATGTTAATTGGATGTGGGGCAGGACACTCCATGGCTCTTTGTCAAGCTCTGCCTTAGCACACCTGAAATCATAGCATCATGGATGTGGGTGGACATCTTTGGACTGCACAGCTCAGGAGAGTTACAAGAGAATTACCCATGGTTAACACAACAGTTGGGGAGTACAGATGTTTTTTCTAAACATCTGAAAGAAAGAGTATGCATAGGAAACTATAATATTGTTAAAATTTTTTCATGGGTTCTTGTCACAGAAATTGATTTTCCAAACCACAGAACTACATTGTGCCTTGATGCAATACAACTGAAGACAGATTTACTTTTTCATCTACTTCTGAGAAGACTTTGAGGACACTCACAACATCTTGGTTATCATTGGTGAACTAATTCAGTCTGAGGAAGTGGTCTGAGAAGTTGATCTTTTGTTATTGTATCTTTACATCATCATAAGCATGTGTTGCACCTGCCAACCTCTACTGGAGTTGTGAGCTCCCACCAGCACAGAAAATCGTTTGTATCACAAAGAAATGCCAGTGAACAAAAATAGATGCACACACACATTTTAAAGAGAAAAACAAGGATTAAAAACCCCAAAAGACAACAGAATTTAGAATTCTGGCAAAACGTGGAAATGAGGCCCTTTTGAACTAGATTTATCTTGATTAAACTGTGAAAGGAGCAATATTTCTGATGAATTATGTTTTGTGCCAGGCATCAGTTTATTGCAGATTTACAGGGATGCAGAGCTGCATGAATTATCATTAACTTGCAAACCAAACCTGAAGTTTCTGAAACTTAGGGAAGAAACACTTCTAAGAGCTCTTGAAAACAATCAAAAAGTTCTAATAGGAGGGCATAAGTCAGTTGTAACTGTTGAGGACAGTTTGAGCCAATGTAGCTCCTGTGTTTCCAGCTGCCTGGAATAGGAAGACATCAAATCTAACCAGAAAGATTTTACAAGTTCTCCAGCCTAAAAGGCAGACCAGAATGCTCCTGGTAATTTCAGGTTAGTTCTCACATCTGTCTCTCAGTCCCTCTGAGTTACTGTTCACAGCATGCTCACAGTACTTGTTCCAGGTGAGTGCTTGACAGAGAACATAGGCCTAACACTTGTTTTGGTAGGAAAAATGAAAAAGCATGAAATAAAATAGCTTCAGATATTATTTGCTGCCTATGCTGAACAGAATTTTGGAAGCTATTTATAAAACTGCTTTTTCACACAAATGCAGTGGATGCCATTAAACTGGATGTTTACCACCCACAATAGTTACATTTGCTGTGGTATTCAATGTATTTCAAGTCCTAAATATAGAGAATTCTACTGTGTGGTAAATGCACCTTTAATGATACCTACTGTTGCTAAACAGCAGTTTAGTTTTTAGAGCAGGTTTGCCAGGGAAGAAGCCTTACAGAATTACAAAATACTCAGAGAAAGGATCTTAGGAAATAGGACAGGAAGCCTTTCTAATGATGTGTCAGCTTACACGAGTGGGCTGGAATTAAGGTGGTAATATGGGCTGCAAGGGTTTTTTCACCCTTTGGTTTTACAGCAGTTATAGTTCATGGTCTCATTTTCAAGGGTATTTTATTTTCCTATTCCATGGATGAGAAGCTTGAACAGCCTATGAAGCTGATTTTAACTGTATTGCAGATACCAAAAGAATTGCAAAGAATAGTGGAATGTCTCCTCTGCAAAAGTGGAATTGAGACTTCTGTTGTAAAATGGTTTGTTTAATCCATGTGTTACTTGTAGTTCTTCAGGGCAATATACTGTTCTGGGCTGTGACCTCTTGCACTTTTAATTATCTAAGTTGCTATTTATTGACTGTCCTCAATGCCATTTTCTGGATTCCAGAGCCTCTCTATTGTATGCACCGAACAGTTCCTAATGCTTTTTTTGGAAGTCCTGTCCGAGGTTTCTACTTTTGTTTTCCTCCAGACTCTGTGTACCAAATAAACATGTTCTCTTGTTTCAGTAGTCATGTCCTCTAAATAATTCTGTTCCATGATCAATCACAGCTAGTACGTGTGCCCTACATCAGGGTTACTGTACTGGACATATTCTGACTGTGTGTGCTGCTGCTGCAGTTCATTCCAGAGGAATCTAACCAATTATGTAAGAAAGAATTGGTTATTTGAAGTGTTTTTCAATTTTTCACACCTGTAGCACGAACACACTTTTGGAACACAAAGAATGATTTGGGGTGATGAGGTGAGGAAAGAAAGGAGTACTTCAGTTTGTTCCTGGCCCTGCTCTGGTCTTTCGTATCTGCATCTAATCTTCATCTTTGAAAGGCAAGAACTGCATTTTCTCTCCTTTGTCATGCCTGTATAGATTGAAAACTTGGGGAAGTAATGACTTGTCTTGACATACTGAATGCTTTGTTATTGGTTAGAACTTCTAGATGCTGCTGTAGACTGAGGAATGATTAAAATTCATGGTAGAAGGTACTGGGTTGAATATCAGAACCAAGTTGTTGCTCATTCTTTCAGAAATGAATGCCGTTTCGTATGTCAGTAGCTTTGTTTGCAGAATAAAGCACTGTACAAAGTCAGCTGAGGCTTTCTCTGTAAAGAAGGGAGCACACAGTGAAAAGGTCCTGATTAGTCAAGTGGGGAAAACAACCTCTTCCCTTCTGGTGTCCAGAGCTTATGACTGTTGCCTGTTGATGTCCTGATGGAGAAGGTCAGTCTCTGCAAGGCAAAATGCAGAGCCAGTGTGCTATGCCAATGCTTCTGCAGTTCATACAAAGACAGAGTTCTTTTAGCAGGTCTACCGTGCTAAACAAGGCAAGTCTTTTATGTAAGCACTCCAGGTTCAGATGCATTTAAACTGACAAGGTTTGTAATATATATATATTTATAAAAAGACACTGGAACAAGGTAAGCAAGTGCCTGTGCAGCTGCTCTCCCCTCCCATGTTCTGAAGATAAGCAAACCTGCCAGTGAGCTGACATTCATGAGGGAGTACAAGTTGTGAACTCTTGACTTTCAGTTCAGAGAGTTTTCAGGCTCCTGGGTGGAGGGGGAGAAGGAAGTTGTTGTGTGCCCTTCTGTTGTTTGAAGTCCTGGGAGACCTGCAGTTGTTACTTGTGCAACCTCCATGTGCACCTGCACAAGACACTCCTGTTCCATTCTGAAGAATGTTGGTAGGATGCTGCACGTGTTGTATCAGAAGTTTCTGCCTCTTGGATTTGTTTGAGCCACTTGGTGGTCACTGATGTTATTTGACTTTGCGTAGCATTCCTGAGTGACTTGATCCTCTTGTGCTTGAATGTTGGACCCTGTATTCAAAGTGTACTCATTTGAAAGAAAAATTGAGTCCTGCCTTTCTTCTGGTTTGCCCAGTCACCACTTCTTATGACACTGACTTCCCTCCTCTATCTGCAATGTTGTCAGTCCTTTTGATGTCTAACTAGGTGTTGCCATCTGCAAGCACTTCATGCAGGTCACTTCTGCAGGAGTGACAGGAGCTTTTACTCAGCTGTGTGACTTGAGCACAGAGAAATTGGGGGTGGGGGAGAATGTGATTTGATTGTGCTTTATATGACATGTTTTGAGTCGTAAGACTTAAAGATGAGGATGGGAAACAGATGAAGGAGGTCAGTTTGAATGTACAGGAGAAAGGAGACCATGGGAAAATATTTAAATGAATGGCAGTAGAGAGCCTGACATAGTCAGCTACAACATAGGGAAAAGGAGGGGGAAGACAGGTTCAAGATAGAGGTCCTGAAGACTGAATAATCTCACAGGGATAGCAGTATTCCAGCCTGCTGGTGTGGTGAGAGTGGGATGAGAGACAAGCTATTCTGTTTCTTGTATGGCATTGTTCCCTCTCTTCCACTGTTTATTAACAATGTGAATTATTGACCTGCACTGGGTTTTTTCTCATTCATAGCACACCTGGAAATTTCCAGTTCTCTTCAGTTGTAACAGCAACATCTGCTCTCACCTTCCATTCCCAGAATTATTTTGATCAGGCCTGTGATCTCGTCCAGCACTTAAACAAATACTTACTATTTTTTGCCATTAAATTCCATGAACTCTGGATCTGAGTCAAACAAGACCTAAGTAATTTTGGGACTTCCAGTTCCTTTTCCCCTGTATGAGAAATGAAGATGATGACAGATCTTTGTCCCTGTGTTCTCCTAGCAATTTTGATATTTTTATGACATATGGCAAGTCTTCTGCCTTTTCTTTTAGCTACATATTTTCTTAAAAAGGATTCCAGAAATTTTTATCAGGATTTGACTCATGCTCATGCTATTTACTACCAGCTCATAGTTCAGAGCAGCTGAAAATTCTGTGAAGGGAAAAACACTGAAGTCTTGTTTCCCAAGGGTTTGGAATGGATGCAGCCTGGGGTAAATCACCTCACGTGGTTTCGATTGCAGTTCAAAATGCACACAGTAGAAAAAATGGTGTTTACACTGAATTTGCTGCAAACTCTAGCTGACATGAGAATAATTGGACATTATAGCTTTTGATGTATCAATATCGTGATAAAAAGAGGCAATACGTGCTTTGTTCTTTTAGCTTTTGTGCTACTCTTATTTCATGATAAATACTGATCTTACATGTTTTCCTCCATGTTAGAAAGAATGATTTGATAGCCTTGAACTGAAGTGCTTTGGTTGCATGGCAGTCACCTTCTGTTGGATGAACAGAACTGAAACTGGAGTTCTTTATCATATGTGTCTTTGAAGTTAATTTGGAGACACTGTGTGTGTAAAGCTGTTGTTATTTCGTAACCCATTTAGATGCTGAAGGACTGAAGTCAGGCACATTCTTGAGCTATTTGTGCATTTCATTCAGGTTCATCCGTCAGTTGTCTCAGCATTCACCTGTTTTTAATGCAGAGGCAGTTTTTACTCATCAGTGCCTCTGTAGAACATCAGGATGTGCCTGAAAATATTCAGCAGTGAAAACAGTCTCTGTATTTGAATCTTGGCCTGCACGAACCACGTGTTTCCTTGTGGGAGAGTGAGGAAGCATAAATTTAGAGTATTGGGAGAACACATTTTTCAGCTGGTTTGGAAACAAGAGCAATGAAGTAATTA